TGAGGGACAACCATATGCTACTCTCTTGGTTGTCCTCCGGACAACCCAAAAAAAACCTTAAAATTGAGCACTGCCCTGGGGGACATAGACCTTATGAGTGCAGCCGGCATATATCTGACGGCTGCCGGGCACGGTCTTCGATTTCCTAAATGCCCGGCAGTTTTTAATTTTCAGCGTTATCTCAAGTAAACAAGGGTTAGGGTTAGGGTTAGGGTTAGGAACTGCCGGGCATTTAGGAAATTGAAGACCGTGCCCGGCTGCCGGGCATATAGCCACAGCGTAAAATCAAATGCCAAAAGTGTCCTAGTGGTCCATTCCCTAGGGGGATTTCTCTAAACCTTGAATCTTATTTCACTGTATACTTGTAGTCCCCGGCCATTATATATAGGGTGGCCATTTCCAAATTTTGAAAAAGGAGGACATTGCGCACGTGGTCATAGGTTACCATATATATATAGTTTCAAATTTTTTTTAAAATTAATTTTAAAGAGGCTAGATATAATTTAACGGCTACTGATTTAACACGTGGCGCCACAAAAGACTAACGGACACTGGCGTAACTTGAGCTATGAGCTATAAAAACCGTCTGTACCTAGCCATTGCCAGGTGTTCTCATAGGTATGGGCTGATCGCGAACGTGGTGGTGGGAGCAATTTGGCTGTGATTCGGCTGGTGGCGTACGCGGCGTCAAGAGACAGCGAGGAAGCGATAGAGAGAAAGTGAGATAAAGAGAGAGACAGCGAGGGAGAGAGAGATAACGCGAGAGAAAGAGAGAGAGAGAGAGAGCGAAAGAGAGAGAGACAACGAGGGAGAGTGAGTGTGAGCGAGCGAGAGAGGGGGAGAGAGAGAGCGCGAAGGGAAGAGAGCGCGAGAGAGCGAGAGAAAGAGAAAGAAAGAGAGAGACAATGAGGGAGAGTGAGTGTGAGCGAGCGAGAGAGAGACAGGGAGAGAGAGAGCGCGAAGGGAAGAGAGAGCAAGAGAGAGAGGGCGAGAAAGAGAGAGAGAGAGAGAGAAAGAGAGAGAGAAAGAGAAAGAAAGAGAGAGACAACGAAGGAGAGTGAGTGTGAGCGAGCAAGGGAGAGGGAGAGAGAGAGCGCGAAGGGAAGAGAGAGTGAGAGTGAGAGAGAGAGAGAGAGAGAAAGAAAGAGAGAGACAACGAGAGAGAGTGAGTGTGTGAGAGAGAGAGAGAGAGAGAGAAAGAGAAAGAGAGAGCGAGAGAGAGAGAGAGAAAGAGAGAGAGAAAGAGAAAGAAAGAGAGAGACAACGAGGGAGAGTGAGTGTGAGCGAGCGAGAGAGAGAGAGGGAGAGAGAGAGAGAGAAAGAGAGAGAAAGAAAGAAAGAAAGAGAGAGACAACGAGGAAGAGTGAGTGTGAGCGAGCAAGGGAGAGGGAGAGAGAGAGCACGAAGGGAAGAGAGAGTGAGAGTGAGAGAGAGAGAGAAAGAAAGAGAGAGACAACGAGGGAGAGTGAGTGTGTGAGATGCCGGGGATGTCATAGTACAGGCTCTCCTGTAGCGCGGTGTTGCATGTAACACCCAGCTCCGGCAAAAAGTTCATGACATTGCACTGTTCCTGTGTGTCCACTTCTGTCACTATAAATCTGCCACCCTTTGACAGAATTTCATTCATGGAAAGGACAGATTCTAATACCTGCTGAAATTCTCTAGTAGGCACTTCAGACAACAGTGAAGCCAAGTTGTTTGTGATTTTAAGAGCTTTCCTGTATTTTTGATGCTGTGATGGAACCTTGTGTGGTTTCGGATGCACTTGAACGGTGGCAATCTGTGTTTCAGTTTGTTGTCCTTGTTTGAGAAACGCTCGGTGACTGGACACATAAAATGCCTTAGTCCAGCGTCTGTGACATAGGCAGGGGTCAGCTGCAGGCATCCCTAAATGCATTCTCACAGCAAACACGTGTTTGCACGGAAGTGCCATCGCCCTGCTGAAGCCACAACTGCATGAATCTACCGTAGGATTGAGTAGGCCAGCTGGTGATCTGATGCAGAAAGCTCCAGCATCTCGTTCCTCCACAGTCAAACTATGTGCTTTCTCTAGCTGGGTTTTGACAAATTTAAAAGCATATGGTGTCAGGAGATCCATGTAGACTTCTTCTGGAGAGTTACTCAAACCACGATGACTTGGAACCTGAAGGGAAAAGTAGTTGTACTGTGACTACTCCCGCAGCGCTCTAAAAACACCGCGGCGAATCTCACAACAGCATAACCTAACACCTCCATGGCCACTTGTCAGGTAACTCATGTTTTAATCGGTGTAAACGCGGTAAACTGTAACACAAAAATGAGGAGTGGTAAGTATGCATTCGCTACTACACGGTGATTACAGTCTCAAAATCATAAAATATAGTGTGGCACGCACTAGCACTGTTATACACACTAATTGCAAGCTCTGCCAGTCCTTACAAACTAAATTCAAGATTTACAAATGTCGTGGGTTGTAATAACACGACGAAGATGAGTCTAATGATCGAACCTGTACGAATCTCACAGAACAAGTGTCCGTTACATTTTGGTGAGACCCACCACAACGCGGCAATGTAAAACTGCTTAAATTAACTATGAAGTTTCTGATTCGCGCATAAACGTGTTCTGCAGACATTTATCTGAATACTTGCACCAAAATAACACTACTAGTAACATCACAGTCACTAAGCCCGCGCTTAGCGCGGGTTCCAGCTAGTATTCATAATGCGCATTCATTTTACATACGGCCAGGGTTGCACAATATGCTGCAAACCTACATGTATGGGTAGACGCATCGTCTGGGCGCTACGCAAAAATTTTCGAATTCATGGCGGTTGTTGTTGTGTCGAGCGTTTGGTTACATCGAATGCACCGGCAAATTAGGGAGTATAAAGAAGGTATATAAGCATGAAAAGTAAACAGAAACGCTAATTGTATTTTCATACATTTTATTTTGTACAAATAACACACAAATATACTACTTGCTGGTGATCGAAATTCGTGACGTAGACAGTTTAATTGAGATGCTTTATTAACGTGTCAACCGTATCAACGGTAGCTAGCATTCAATTCTGCAAAAACCAAATACGTACATGTCTTTAATATATGAAGGCGCTAACAATTCTCATATTCATAAACACCATAAATGACCTTATCTAAATTATGCAAATTGCTAATTATGCCTGAATCGTAGTAGATGCTAACTTACTGTTCCGCCGGATCTCTTAAACACCAGCACCTTGAACAGAACAGCCTTACAACCTGAACAACAAATGTTAAATACAAAAAATGTAATTCACAATATCAGCCGATTACAATGCTACATGCATACATTCATATCAATACACCACAGGATTCCTGACTTCGAATTACCACGAGCTACTAATCTAACACGACATCATAAAAACCACATTCTTTAACAATCTTGATTAACATATTCATCATTAATCTCAGCGGCTTTCTATGCTACTTCTCTCCCTTCTAACCAGCAACGATTAACCTATTTCTAATCATAGCCACAGAAACCAGCTTCTCTGAACATACAAAGTACATAATCAAGCTATTACACGGCTAGATAACATTACACTAACGATCATAGAGAGAGAGAGAGAGAGAGAGAGAGAGAGAGAGGGAGAGAGAGGGAGAGAGATAGAGAGGGAGAGAGATAGAGAATGTCGCAAGTCATATTGGTTTTCAATGGAACCTATACAATATTTAGCACTGCTGAATTTATTTCGGATACAATTTCTAAACATTGTACATGATAAAATTAGTGTAATTTGCTTCAGTTCTAGTCTACGTGATGGTTATAATGTGATAACCTCACACTTTAGTGAAGTAAATTCTATTAGCCAGCTGTCCTCCCACTTTTGCAACATATATACTCTTGTAACATATATGCAAGTCTTCTTGCAAATTTGATGCATTGTGTGCTATGTCTATTCGCGAAGAATCAGGCATCATCATCAGAGTCGATCAGTCGAGTTGTCAACTTCAGCTACAGTAGGATGTGGATCTATGAACATGAGAATAACATGCAGTTAAACACGTAATACCATCACATATTAGATTTTTGCGACAATTAGGAATTTAGTGTTGACGATAGTTGTGGTAAGAGCTGGAACTAGAGGGAAAAGATGGCTGCACCCATGGCAAGGAGCGTGTCAACTGAATATCAATAAAATCATGTTTTGATACATATAATCGTCTATCCTTAACTAATCTATAAACATAACACTGGCGACGAGGATGTCTTTACCAGAATTTGCAAAGTTTGACACAATTCTGATGGCAATATTGGCCCTAGATGGACCAAATGGCTCGCAAGATTGAACAGACTCATGACGGTGCTGGATATCACAGATGCTACTAACATGCAGGCGGTTCTCCTACACTATGGGGGACCTGAAGTGGACGAAATATACGATACACTGACTGTGCCGGCCGCTACAGCCGATGTCAACATCTTTAAACAGGCCAGTAAAGCCCTTACGGATTATTTCACGCCCAGAACCAACACAGCTTTTGAAGTGTATAACATTCGTCAATGCAGTCAAAATCCAAATGAAACCTCTACCGTACGTTATTAGGCTCTGGGCACTTGCAAAAACTTGTGGTTTCGCTGAGGCCTATCGCAAAATCGCAAACCATATCATACTTGCTAGCTCATCGCAAGCTTTACGCCGCCATGCACTTTGCACAGAGATGGATTTGGACGACCTGATCAAGACAGCCAGAGGGTTGCAAATCGCCAACACCCAAGATGGGAAGGTAGAGTCTGGACAGAGTCAAGCTACTGTCCACCACGTTGCAGACCATGGTCATCACGCTGAAAGTCGCCATGAAACCCAACGTAAACACCTATCATCATCACAAAATCGACATTCGTCGCAGCGAGGCCGCAATCGAAGCCAAACTCATCATCATCATGATCATGGACATCAAAATCCAAGTCACGGTCGACAACGTCGTAACGTTACCTGTTTGTTATGTGGTCGCTCTCAACCTCATTGCAAAGGGGATTCCTGCTGCCCAGCTACTGACAAAGAGTGCACCGCATGTGGGAAAGTAGGACATTTTGCTATCGTATGTTGATCATGTCCTTCATCAACGTCTCGTGGACCAAACCCGCAAGCTTCAGTTCATTCTGTTCAACTCGCTGATTCTTTTGAGGAAGAATATTTCTTCTCGATTTGAAAGGAAGTCGCATACGTTGCAAGTGATCACCAACAGCTAACGTGCACTGTCAAAAGTAGGCTGCAGAATCTGAATCCAGGTGATCGTGGAACTTTCACTCTTGATATGATGGTTGATACCGGTGCTTCAGTTAATGTTATAGATAGCCAAGTCTACAACATGTTTCGCGATCAGTGGTCAAGTTCCGTGAAACTTGACACACCGTCAATCGCTGTCTATGCCTATCCGCTATCGTGACACGAAACCGAATCTGAATCAATTCGCCTATTCGTGGAACTTTCACTGCGATCATTCAGTATGGCACTAAGTCTTGCCCCTCAGACTTTTTCGTGTTCCATGGTGAAGGTCACAACTTCCTAAGCTTCAAGACCGCAAACCTGTTGGGCATCAGGCAACTGGCTGGCCCCACTCTAACCTGCAACCAAGTCTCGATCGACGAAGACACTGTTTTCAAGGAGGAAATCGTCAAGAAGTGTCCGAAATTGTTCTGTCCAGGCATTGGTAAAGTGAAGGATCAACAAGTCAAGCTACACATCGATCGCTCAGTACAGCTTCGACAGCAAAATCATTGCTGCATTCCGTTTCATGTACGTGGGAAAGTTGCAGAAGAATTCAAGCGTTTGGAAGAACTTGACATTATCGAAACCATTGAAGGGTAGACCCCTTGGGTTAGTCCACTTGTACCTGTTCCGAAGAAAAATGGTAACATTCGCGTGCGTGTAGATATGCGAGCAGCGAATCAAGCGATTCAGCACGAAAGACACGTTATGCCTACCATAGATGATGTCATCGCTGACTTAAATGGATGCACTGTGTTTAGCACATACGAGCAATGCATATCATCAACTGGAACTGTCGGCCGAGAGTAGATACATCACTACATGCAGCACTCATGTTGGACTCCAACGTTACAAACGTCTCTTTGGAGTAAACGCTGCTCTGGAGATATTTCAAAATGTAGTCGCAAGCATTCTTCACGATCTGCCAGGTTGTAAGAACATTTCAGATGACGTAATCGTTGGGGGGAAGGATACCCAGGAACATGACGCTTGTCTTCACGAAGCACTCCAGAAACTGGAAGACACTGGCATCCGCTTCAACTTGCCAAAATGCTATTTCTGCGTTCCTAAGGTGAAATTCTACGGTCATGTCTTCAGTAACAAGGGAATTCACCCTGACCTGTCAAAAACTTGATGCAGTTACCAACGCGCTGCCGCCGCAGAATGCCACTGAACTTAGATCGCTACTGGGGATGACCCAGTACTTGTCACGTTTCATCAAAGGATACGCATCAATCACCAGTCCTCTGAGAAAGCGAACGCACAACGACGTCGAATGGACATGGCGTGAAGAACAAGAGACTGCTCTTACTAGGTTGAAAGAAGCCCTGAAAGGAGCATCAGTAGTTACGTATTTCGATCCAAGAAAGGACACTGAGCTCGCCGTTGACGCCAGTCCTAAGGGTCTCGAAGCAATCCTATTGCAGGACAACATAGTTGTGAGTTATGGCAGTAGAGCGCTAACCGACGTAGAATCAAGATACCCACAGACAGAACGTGAGATGCTAGCAGTTGTGTGGGCAGTTGAACATTATCACTTGTACTTATACGGAGCAAGGTTTGTCATCTATACACCGATCACAAACCGTTACTGGGAATCTTCAGCAGTTACAAGCAAACGTCTGCTCAAATGGAACGTTGGCGTCTCAGACTTATGCCGTACGACTACATGCTCAAGTATCGCCCAGGCCGAGATGAACAAAACCCAGCTAATTTTATCAGTTGCCATCCTGTTGGAAAGCCGCCTACAGTTTCTGAAGCTGAAGAGTACATCAACTTTGTAGCCGAGAACGCAGTCCCAAAGTCTATGCCAATCGAAAGCATCGCTGAAGCCACATCCGCTGATCCTGTACTCGTCAAAGTTAGGAAAGCTATACGAAATGGAAAGTGGAATGACGCAGACCTACAACCGTACAGGAAGATACGGGACGAATTCGCAAGCAGTGATGGTATCATACTCCGTGGAACCAGAATCGTAGTACCCGAATCTTTGTGCGACAAGGCAGTACAATTCGCTCATATCGGACACCAAGGAATCGTACTTCCGAAAGCCCTACTGAGAGAGAAAGTTTGGTTTCCAGGGATTGATCGAATGGTAGAAGACATGATTGCTCGGTGCATTCCATGTCAAGCTGTAACTCGGAAGCCGAACACGCCAGAACCTCTTGTCATGTCACCTCTCCCAGCCGAACTGTGAGCTGAAGTGTCTGTTCAAGGATGGAGAGCATGGCCAGATTGAGACCTATGGCATTTTCGTCAATGTGGGGGTAGCCCCTTTAAAATCGAGGGGGGTGTTGTTGAGGGTCTTGTTTGTTTATTTTTACCGAGAAACATGTGAGTTCACAGGAAGTGTGGAAAAAACTGCGTTTAAGCGACACTACTCGCCCGTTTCTGACTGTTTCTCACCATTGCTACACGTAAGAATTTCCTGCCATGTTCCACTGATACGGTCCTCAAATGTATCTGCCTATTTGCGCACGCCATTGACGGACTTATACTACTTGCTCTCCGCAGTAAATTACCTGGAAATCCGTTGATATTCGTTGTTTTTTTGAAAATGCATAAATCAACCACGACAAAGTCCGCCATTGTTGTTGACTGTTCCCTACTGCCCTATTGCGGCCATCTGATGTATATGCATTTGCCAACCCCCTCATTTTCTAGCTGCCGCTGGCTGTGCGCATCTGCGTGTTGCTGGGCGCGCATTGCTAACATCTGACACGCGTAACGCTGCGGCAGCTGCACACGGTATATACAACCAAGATATGATAAAACGCACGTGAACGCACATTCTTCCAGTTGTGTTAGATGCACTCTGTACATTGAAGTGATATTGTCTCGTCGTACATAAACACTAGAAGACGGATGATGCAGATAGAGGTAATTTAATGTGTAACAACTGATAGTGACTGCTAGGCCATCTTAGCCATCACAGAGAGACCCTAGCTCGGATCTCTTAAACCCAGTTAACTCAGCAACCTAGTTTGGCACTAGGTGGCGCTAGCTTACAGTAGTATGGATATCACTACATCCCCATCACTTAGCTAGAATTGTGCATGTACACTTATATAGTGTTTCACAATCATTTCAGATATTGAAATGCTAGGTAACTGACATATACGCGACAGATATATGAAATCACATTAGTTTACATAGAGTACACACAGGTACAAAACTTAGGGATTATGAACAAACAAAGTAGGACATTCACAGGGGTAGACTACCCTCCTGTCCTGGGGGTTATTCTGCCCCGTCTAATCTCGAACGCCTGAGTATTAACTTCGTACGTTTACTCTTGGAATCTTGCTGGCAACCTTACTGCGCGGCCGTACCGGGTCTTGCCTGGACTGGAGTCTTTTCTCTGGATACGGTCCGTCCCGCTACTGAGATCCTGGGGCGAGGTGTCACCTTGATCGTTAGCTGAGGACATAGCAGCTTCACAGGAAGCCTGGTTGGACTCCTCATCGCACAGCTTCTCCATCCGCCCTGTAGTTAGCTCGCGCAGATGGCTGCGGTTTCGTCGTAGGCGTGTTCCATTTGGAGTCTCTACGACGTAACTTCGCGGCTGCTCATGTCGTGCGACCACTTCTCCTGGACACCACGTTTTGTTGCATTGGTCTAGGATCCGCACTCTCTGCCCCTCGTGCAGTGGTG